ATGAACACAGCAGGCCAAGCAGCATCATAGGAGCAGAAAGGCTGATGAAGGGTCTAGGCCCGAAACATCAGCCTCTCTGCTCCTATGATGCTGCTTGGCCTGCTGTGTTCATCCAGCCCTGCACCTTGTTGTCCCACCCTGATTGGTTGGCTTATTGTCACATGTATCTTGTTACAAAATACAGTGATAAGTGTTGTACAGTAGTTGCCGCTGTCTCAGCACCATCTTAAAATGCAGAAAAATAAACCAAAATGTAGAATGTAAAGGCTGAGAAATGAAGAAATAAAGCATCCAACTTTACAGTCTGTCTTGTTAAGTGCTCTGCCATGGGCCATGGGCATGAGTCCCCTTCCCAACATCGCCATCACTGTGACAAGAGTCACCATTCTTTGGCATCTCCAACCACGTAACCGGCACCATAGTGATTACACACTTGATTACAAAACCAGAATAAAAAGAAAACAGCAGAAGTAAAGGCAACAAAGCCAAAAGGAATGAGAAACTTCAGATATTAAACTCATACTTAAGTCTTATCTCCGTATAGGGCCTCCCAGGCCTAGCTGCAGCCTGGATTCTCGGGAGGAGCTGAGTGCTTGGTGCCGCCGATATTACTGCCTACTGATCTCCTCCTGCTGCTGCCTCCTCCCATTCGATAACTACCGGCAATGCAGCCTGAAACACACTCAGGCAGGGCCCACTTCGAGCCTCCAATCACCTGGTCCCTACCTGGAGCCAATAAAATCTAATTTGAATTCTAATTCCAGTTCTGGAGCCCTACAGACCCAGATTCCAGCTGCATGTGATCTGAAGTCCCTATGACTGAGTTGGTTTATGTACCACTCTATTATTAACCATGGAGATTTAATTCCATACTCCTTCTGTCACCACCCTTCCCACACATACACAGCTGAGGTTTCAATCTGCAAACATATCCTTGGCCTTTCCTGACGTACTCCACATGGTATCCCTAGGAGGGGAGACATTTCTGTCCCTGCTGATCATCGGAGTGGAAAGGCACTGGTACTCTGTCCCCACACTCAGGAGGCAGAGGCTGCTCTGGAGAGGACAGCAACATTTCAGGATTCATGGTCAGAACTGCTCATTCTTTAAGTAGCAGGGTGGTAGGGTTTTCAAACCAGGTCTTCCGTTTTCCAAACAAAAAACATGTGCCCAAGCCTCGCAGTGATGCACCTGATGCTTTGAGAATCCTATGAGGTCAGCATTCATTTAACGTCCTCAATCTAACCTTGATTAGGGTGAGGCTCCTTCGGCATGAGTAAATGGATCCAAAGGGGTTTATTTGTCTGCTGTTGACTTGGCACATTGTGCAGTTGAATACCAATCCTTGACATCATGCCATCACCATTAGTAAGTGAAGGTTATTATCGTGTTGTGCTGTTGTCTTACCCTCAACACTGATGTACAAACATCAAAAATGTGCAGCCAAATACATTCTTGATAACCATATCCATCTGCTGTTAGAATAAGTCTTCGTTAACTGAGAGCCCAATTGGTAACCACTGGAAAAAATACTATCCCAATAGTATCTGAAAGGTCATGAGCTCTTGGGATTCGACTGCTCAATGGACAGACCAATAACAATGCTTTACATCTCCATCTTGGAGGAGAATCTTGCTTTAGAACATTGAGGATTTAATCTCCCATTGCTGGAATTTGATGTGGGCTCCTTTTATGTTGAGATGCATTCTGTCTGCGCACACTGTTGCGGCTCCCCTTTCTTTCAAATGCCTGCCATGGAGCTGTCCCATTCTGTGTGGAGGATTGTGCCACTTTGCTCCTCCTCATTCCATTCTGCTCAAAACATCTCCTGTACATGCACATGGCACTTCCTCAGAGGGTCAAAAAATAGCGTTGCGTCATCCTTACGATGCAATTCCACAACACCCTCAAAATTGCCAATTGTGTCAAATCCATCTGTGTATGTGTGTGTTTGAGATTGTTGACCAACTCGATTGTGTCACTTGCGGTCCGTTCCAACACAGTGGGTACAGTTTGAATTGGCACTACACTAAGATCTAGGCAGACTGGCGGTCCTACCACCGCTGCACCACTGGAAAAAGCTAGGTGGGGGCTTTAGGGAATCCAAGATGAGCTAGTCTAAAAGCACTGCAGTGTGACCCTGCTAGAGCATGGTATTGGTCAGCAGTTACTGGCTGTGAGATCATCTCTCGAATGCTGGGACAATTGCTGTGGTGCACATCTTTCACAATGCATAGGGGGAACAAGTTGCTCCTACTCAAATATCAATTTTGGCTTTTAGTCCGTGTCATCCTGCTTTTAACTCAGAGGCATTGGTGAGACAACAGCTTCAGTGGAGCTGTGGTAGGCCCGGAGCCTGGTTGAAGCTT